GCCTCCGGGCGAGCCCGGGCGGCCTTTCCTCGCCTGCCCTCGCGGCCCGCGCTGCAACGTCGGGCCGAGGCCGCTCGTGCCTGCTGAGCGTCGGCGGGGGCGGGTCGGCCCGGGGCGTGTGCGCGCCTGTGGCTTCGGCCGAGTGCTGGCCAGAAGCGAAAGGGACAGATGTCGTTGGGCATCGCCGCCCTCGCCCCACCTGTCGCGGGTGGACTTTGGGGCGGGCGGGAAGCGGAGGAAAGGGATTTTGAAGCGGGCAGCAATCAGACCTGAGCAGCGGCCCCATTGTGAAGCTGCCAAACTCTCCAGTGGTGGAATCTACAAATCTCTGCCAGAAAGGAGATGGGAACGTGAAGTGTTTGCAAGTGTTCCGCATCCTTACGGACTCCGTGCTTCTTCACCGACGCCAGTTTGCCCCCCGGGGTGGGTTAGTGATTTGTGTCCAGCCAAGATTTCTGTGGTGCACAGGTAAAGCTGGAGCTGGGAACTTCTTAATCGTTTGAGGAGGAGGAGGAATAGAGGCAGTAGCATTTTATAGAGTGCTTGCTACTCCTGCTGGAAGAACAATACTTGCACAACGTTTCAGACGTTACTTTCCTCAAAGAGCCACCCTACAATTTAGGGTTGTTAGTCGTTTTTCCTCCCCCCTAATTCTGTAGAGCAGGATACACACTAGAGAGGTAGAAATGACACTTTCCCAAAGTTTATTTTCCCAGCCATTTCAAAATACAATATTGGTTATTATTGCAGAAACTTTTGGTATTTTATTGATTCAAGGCCACGATTTATGCTTACACTATTATGTTTAATGTTTCACAGATTTCTCAGTGTTTTTATTATGCAACTGTGAACTCATTATACACTTTGAAATGAGCAGGAGGAAATATGAGATAATGAGCGTGGAGACCTCTTAATTTGTAAGAACTGGTGTTTAGAATATGCTTTTGTCAACATTTTAGTTTATTTAATTGCAAATAAGACTGTTAGTCACTATTCCAGGATATAAGATATTTAGTGACCTTGCATAGCAGTCAGTGAACTTGCTTATTTTCTCTGTATATTTTGGAGAGCTATTTTAAGATTAACTCTTAAAAATATTTAATGTGGTGGGACTAATGCAACTTTATATACAGGGCTTAAAATTTCTTTGCTGATTTATAGCCTGAAGGGATGAGGGAAGTCGGCTCATTTCCTCTAGGGAAAACTTTGATTTTATCACCAGCGTATCAAAATCAAAACCTAGTTTTAAGCTTTCGTTTGGAAGGTTAGCAAATTCCACCATGTACACCTGTCCCATTTTTGATGATGCTTCCTAAGAGATAACTTTGTAAAGACTGCATGGAGACCTCCAATTCTAGTTACTCTCAGTCATATTTGCAGTGAAACTGAGTATTTTTTCTAAAAGTAGGATGACTTCACGTGATAAGAATATATGAGTAACCTAGGTTTAATTTTTACTAGCAGGAATGGAAAGAAAGAAAATGAATGCTACATTTTAAGGAGGTTGCTATTAAAAGAACTGATATTAGAAAGAGAAACACATTTTTGTCTTACTGAACTAATTATGGGTTGTCTCACCACACTGGTAAGGTTAATGATTTGTTTGTAAGGTCCAGAATAGTTTCAGAAAAGTCACACCCTACTTAACTGCTCTTAAAAACTATTGATGATTTAGTTTTTTCAAGTTGCAAATGGTAAAATAAGATTATTTGAAGATGAGCATGTAAGTACAGCTAAGCGTTTTGTTTTTATTGTGTGTGGTACTTCAACAGTTAAATCATTTTATTTCTGCTCAGCCTTCTGTTACTTGAGAGGTGTTTTGATCCATCTCTTTTACTTGTTTTTAGAGTAGTCTTTGAGATTTTGTGGTTACAAAACAGTTTCACTAGTATGAATGGAATTTTAAAAAATAGCTATTTGTTTTCAAGTGCTTCTTCATTATTGGTATCCATCTCTTTTACTTGTTTTTAGAGTAGTCTTTGAGATTTTGTGGTTACAAAACAGTTTGACTAGTATGAATGGAATTTTAAAAAATAGCTATTTGTTTTCAAGTGCTTCTTCATTATTGGTTTCTCCTTAAATCGTTATTCTGAGAAATACTGTTTCCATTTTTTTTTCTTCATGTTTTGGTAGCTAGAATTAGAACTCATAACTTCTGCTCTACCAATTTTTTTGCCTAAAATTTATCTTGTTTTTCAGAATATAATATATAATGATAGGTTCCACTTATATACCCAGTTTCAGAAGGGCTATGTGCCTTCATATTTATACCTTATGATTTGTAAGTGATAATTTTTGTTAAATTTTTCCTTATTGCTATTTTGTTAGTGATCCGATCTGTGCTGAAGCCTGAGATTTATGGCTTTTTGTGTGTGGGGGGATTTTGTGTAGACTTGAACATTTCCATATCTAACTTTCTATATATATTGGGAAAACCTTTACCTTTTCTGGTTTCCCAGTGCCATTCAGGTTTACTGTTATATGTATTAGACTTATGTATTTCCATGTCTTTGTCTTTCCCTCTGTCTTGGTCTTAGGTTTTGCTTTTTGTATTTGTGCCAGTGCCTGTACAGTGCTGGGACATATAATAAGACTTAAGAAATATTGTTGAATGACTGAGTGAATAAGTGAATAATTGAATGCCTGAGTGGATACACCCAAAGAAATATTCCTCAAATCTGTGTGGGAAGCCACTATGCAAGCAGAAGCATGTTTCTTTTTTAAAAAAATTCATTGCCTTTCCATTGTTAATATTACTTTTGAGTAGCATAACAATTATAATAGCCAAACTGGGACACTTTTGAGAGTTAAAGGGGGTGCTATAAGTAATTATGCCAGGGTATCAGGTATGAACTGAGACATATACGGTCATCCTACTTTTGAAGGGCATTCTTTATTTACCTGTGATGGTAACTATCACCTTACCTAAGAAATGTGACAAACTTGCCAGTTAATGTTTGCAAACTTTTCTAGTTGTAGAAGCTTCACTTGTAGTCAAACATTGAATGTCTTTTGCTTAGTCATCCATGGCTTCCCTGTCCAGAGGCCTGTGGGCAGCTCTTGGCCATGCTTAATTTTTCCTATTTTCATTACTTATAGGATAATGTCACAGGGCTTTCTGTTTCAGCTTCTTATAACTGGAAGCATTAATCCTATGGCCTTTGCTCTATTTACTTCAGTCTGTAATTTTGCAGCTTTTAGTACCTCTTCTGAGAATTTCACATGGGTTCTTTTCCTTCTTGCTGGCTGTTTTTGCGAGGAGATCTGTTGATATTTTTCCATACCTTCATGTTCAAAACATTGGCCAGAATCAATTGTGAGTGTTAGAGATGTAAACATTTTTAAAGTATTCTAAAAATGTGTGTTATTTGAAAGGTACACATTTTTTTGACTTTCATATTAAAATCTTTTAGTCATTATTAATGGGAGATGGGTAAAACCCTTACTATAATTTTGTAGTAGATTCCTTCATAGGCAATCTCTTAAAGAAGGTATCTTCTTATATTAGCTTCTGGCCTTGTTCTTTTTATTTTTCCTTTTTCCTCTTCTTCACCATCCTCATCCTCATCTTTATCTTCATCCTCATCCTCTTCTTGGCACCTGTGCAGGGATAGCACTCAATTACACACAAAACAGTAAGCAGCGTCAGAAATGAGTAAAAATGGGAATGGAAGGGAGCTCCCGCGTCTTGGTTTCGCCTTGTGTTGCTCCCTTGGACTCTGTGTCTGTGTTCTATTTTTGGCTTGG